ATTTAAATTTTATATTTTATAAATCATTTTGGAATGTTTAGATGCCGAATCTATAATTTCTATTTTGTTTATAAATTGTGATAATCAAGAACAGCAGGAAATAACTATCTATACAAATAAAAAAATATCAATTATAGTAAAATATATCACCGAGGATTACAGGCGGATTTTGCTGTCTGTAATTTATAGACGGATTTTTTCATCTGTGAATTACAGACGAATTTTCCCGTCTGTAATTTACAGACGGATTTTTCCGTCTGTAACTTATAGACGAGGATATTACAGACGGTTTATATCCGTCTGTAAATCTGTCTGTAATAGAAAAAACCGTCTGTAATGCTCTAAAAATCCGTCTGTATAAACAGACTTTTTAGTAGTGGATATATATATATATATATATATATATATATATATATATTATTTTATCATTCACATGTTATAACATAGTAAGAATACCAGTTTAGCTACATTATCTAGTACTATATGCATGATGAATAATCCTTCAATTAGGTTTTTTTTTTTATTATTGTTCTTATTACAGTGATGTATAGATTACTCTATCAGTCAACAAATATACAATCCTAATATTGAGAAATTTCATCTTTTATGAAAATAAATATTTCTATAAATTATTTTAAACACCCTCAAAGGGTCACTTCTATTTTCAAATACTTTTTAAAAAGGTAATTTTTCTACAAAACTACATAACTCTAATTTTCTTAGAGCACTAAGGAATACATAGGAGTAGGGATCAAAACCTGTCGAGTCTAATTATTTTAAAACTTTTTTTTTCATTATTTAAAAAATACAAACAATTTTATGTGTGGATTAACATAAATCAATTTTTTTATAACTTGAATTTAATTTCAGATTAATCAGATACTAAAATATTAAACCATGTTGTTTAATCATGCTATCCAATTTTAAAAATAATTTAGAACATTTTCTTTTAATTTAATAATAATAATAATAAAATCCTTTTATGGTTTAAAGTAAGTTTCTAGACAGTGGTGCGTGAAGTTTGACCAAGTGGTCATATCTTTTGACTTTAAGAAAAATGCTTCGGATCAGTGCATGTACTGGAAGATGAGTGGGAACAATTTTATCATCCTTGTCTTATATGTTGATGATATCCTTCTCGCTAGCAACTGCATTAATATTTTAAATGAGACAAAGAATATGTTGAATAGCCATTTTGATATGAAAAACCTTGGTGATGTTTCTATTATTCTAGCATTGAGATATGTCGTAATAGGTCTTCTGGTACTCTTGGATTGTCTCAGAAATGGTACATTAATAGGATCCTCAAGAAGTTTAATAGATATTCTTACTCCCCATGAGTCGCGCTTGTTCAAAGGGGTGAGAAACTATAATCTCAGTATAGATTTGTTTGAAATGGAGAAAGTTTCATATGCTTCTGCTATTGGAAATTTGATGTATGCTCAAGTCTACACTCGTCCCAATATTGCTTATGTTGTTAATGCTTTGGGCAAATACTTGGGTTGAATTTGATGTATGTTCAAGTCTACACTCGTCCCAATATTGCTTATGTTGTTAATGCTTTGGGCAAATACTTGAGCAACCTAGGTTTGGGTCATTGGAAAGCGGTCTTAAGATATTTACAGGGAACCAAAGATTATATATTAAACTTTGCAAAGTCTGATCAACTTCAGGTCATTGGATACTCTAATTTTGCAGGTTGACCTAACGGCCATAAGTCTACTTTAGGTTTTAATTTTATGATGGCGGGAGAAGCTTGGAAGAATGTTAAACAGACAGTTACAGCTACTTCCACTATAGAAGCAGAGTATGTCGCTTATTATGAGGCTACCCGCTAGACTATGTGGCTAAAGAATTTAATTTCTGGCTTTCGCATTGTTGAGAGTATATATAGGCCATTTGTGATTTATTGCGACAATACTGTTACTGTACTTCTTTCTCAAAATAATAAAAGTTTTATTTGTTTGAAGTACTTTGATATAAAGTATTTGTTTATTAGAGAGAAAGTACTTGAGTTTCAGTCTCGAATTGACTACATTGCTATAGAGAGCATGTTAGCAAATCCAGTAACCAAAGGCGACCGTTGGAGCTTTTTAAAATCATGTATCTCATATGGGTCTAGTCAAGTCTTTTGATGTTTTAGACTAGCAGGAGTTTAATTTTGTATCTTCTTATTGACATTATTATCCAGTTTCTTTATGAGATATATCTTTTATTTGATGTCACTTTTATTAAGATATCTTTTATGATATTTTTTTATGCTTGGACCTTTGTGAAAATAATATTTATGTTTACTTTATCTATATTGTGATTGGAATATAAGTTGTTTGTAGTATATGATATATATTCCTATCGGATATAATTGTATACTATTAAGAGCTTATTATTTCTTTGATAATAATTAATAACTTGTTACGATGACATAATTTGTGGACTTAGTAATTTAATTATACTGTACAAGTGGTGGAAGAATGTTAAATTTTCTAATATTAATATTAATATTTATATTAATTTATGAATTAGCATTATTAAATTATTATAATTATATTATTATTAATTATGACATAAAATAAATATGTAAAATTATTATTAATTATAAAAATTTTGTAATTGTACTCTTAGTGTGAATAGTCTGTGATGGATTGAATCATTATATATGTCCAGAGATAGGTTTCTACTATGATCTGATTAAGCTTATATATAACTGTTGTTCCATTAGACTATTAGACTAACTGACTGGATATTGGCAAGGGAAGCAAAGAAAAAGAAAAGGCTTTTTGAACCATCTTTCTTCAATGAAACTGGCATTCTGAAACTCTTTGGTTGTGATCGGTTAAGCTGGTATCCAGAGACGAAAGAGGTGATAAAGTAACGGAGTCTTAGCAAATTAGACAGCAGATGAGGACCAATGCTCCTTTTTTAAACCAGAACAACTCTGAACATTAGAGAAGATAAGAGAAGACCACTTGAGCAAACTGACCGAGGGGACTTGACTTATTCGAACCAAATGATAGCGGCTTAAAGCTAAGCCTATCATGAGCAGCGTCGCTGCTCGATCGGCGGGGAGAAGCATCTCAAAGTATGGGGCAAAGGATCAAGCGCTTTGACTTTGTCTCCCGGGATTCACCACAGGTAGGGTTTGAGAGCCGTGTGATGGATGACTATTCAGCACGGTTCTGAGAGCACTTTTAGTCTGCCTCACTTAAAAACAAAGATCGTTTATAACTTAAGGATTCTTATCAAATACGAGTTTAACATAATTATTTAATTATATATAATTAAAATTATATTGAGATATTATAATATGTATTATATATAATTATCGGTATTTTTAATTAATTTTATATATAAAATTCTGGATAAATGACAGGATATATTATTAGTTAGAATATGATTTGTTATAAAAAACATACATGAGTTTCTAATGCTCCCTGGGCAATAGTGTTAAAAGAACCACGTGCAAGTCTAATAGGTGTATGAAATTTTTGTTCGATTCATTGTATTTGTACGAAACGACAGGCTACCCACGTGAATCACATATGAGCATACATGCAGCATCTTTGTTGACGATGTCATCACGTAAACTAGCTGTTGGATAAGTTGAAGTGATGGGGATCCCTCATCAATCTTGCATTCTAAAAATCATAGCCATGTCAAATCATTCTTGCAAAAAAATTTTGACTTTTAGTATTTTCTTTTTAGGGTTGTATTTTCTAACCTTTAATAAAATGTAAAAGTTTTTTTAAACAACCTAAAGTGATGTTGCCAATTTTTTAAAATAACAATTTTATGGACATAAGATAATATTTATTTGAGATTAATAATAATAATAATAATAAAGTGTTGTTTATATATATATTTTAGGAAGAAAAAACCGAATGTCAAAATATACTATCAATGTCATCTTTCTCAAATAAATATATACACAGTAAAATTACAAGAAGTTAGAACTAAAGAATGCACTGCCAAAACTAAAGTTTAAAGAGCTACGCTTTGGAGTTACGTAAATTTGTATTGAAAAGAAATATTAAAAAATATACAAATTTTAAGAATAATCTAAACAATTATTAGTAATAATCTAGAAAAAATCATTTTTATTTTCTAGTTTGTAAATGTTTTAGAGAGAGTTCTAAAATATTTAAATATTAAAATATTTAACTAACCAAATATAATGGTAAAAAATGTCTATAAATAGGCATGTTATCATATTGTAAATACTAAGAACAAGTAATCAAGCTATTAATTCTTTATTTTTTAAGTATTTTACTCAAACTTTTTTAATTATCATTTTCAACTATTCTAACTAATATATTTTAACTATCTTAATCATCTTACTTATACCAAAAATCACCATCCTTTAGTCACTTGGGCTTGACGTAGTATGATGGATGGTGACTAAAATTGTATTACAGTGGTGGTGTATTTTTTTTATTTTTTTATTTTTTTTGGTGTTGATGAGTTTCAATATTAAGATGAACATATTCATCATTCAACGTTCTAACAACTTGTTCTACTACTTTAGATTGTGAAATAGCTTTTACTCTCTTACTTCTTACTTGTAATTAATTTTTGATACTTTCCTGTTTAAACTGGCTTATGAGAAGCTTATTTGGGCTTATCTATTGACATAAGCACTTGTCAAAATGTTTGGAAGAGTTTATAAAAATAGCTTATGACATATCCATATGTTGTTTTAAGCTTATTTTACTAAGCTCTATAGAATAACTTATGAAAATAGCTTATGACTATATAAAAATAGTTTGAATATATTTTCTCTTTAATTATAGAAACAACTTATACACAAAAGCTTATATGATAAGCGCCTATCCTATAAGTGCTTAATTAAGCCATTTTTTCAAATGGGACTTTCATATATAGCTTTATTCTTCCTTATACTCAATTATATACTCCCTATTCTACTTATTAGTTATGAATTTAATATTTTAAATATAGATAAATGTAAAACAAATCAATTATAAGCGTATAACGTTAATACGTCACCCTGAAAAGTGAAAACACAGCACTTAATGCATTAAGTACCAATACTGACAACATTTCTATTGCCTTAATTAACTAATGATACAAGACAACATAAGAACCAAAGTAGTTGCATAAATAAATTACATTACTAAATGGATATTGCTTTATTATTTTATTTCCCTGACAAACGGAAGGTGTCTTAGATCCCAGCGGTTTCCTCAACATCCAGCATAGAAGATAGAAAATTAACTGCTTACAAAAAAATCAAAATCAAAGAGGCATATATAGGTTATGTACGTACACATAGAAAACCATAAAAGCAAATTGTTTTTTTTATTATTATTATTATAAAATAGTTGAAGGTAAACTTACGTTGGTGGAGAGGGAAATATAAATTCCTCCTCGCAATTACCCTGCGGGCTGCTACTTAGGCAATTTAGGAGTGTTTCCCCATTTACGTTAACACACAGGCGAATAGTTTCAAGTTGAAGTCTACCCGATTCATCCTTAGAACATGTTATGAGTGCTTCTGTGTTCGTTGCTGCCTTAATGGCTTCCAAAACCTCCTCTGCGGTGTGGAGAGTACTTCCATCTGGTTCAATACCTAAAGATATCGATGAAAGCATGCCAGCAACTTTTGTTAATGATCCATGCACCTTAATTAAATAACTGCTTTATTCAATATGAGACCAAATTAACTTATTAATTACTCTTTCTGGACTCAATTATAAGCAAAAAAACATACATATATATTCTTTGGACTCAAATATCAGTGAAATCCAATCAACTCAACTCTATTTAATATACATATATAATTTTTCAAGAGGCTAAAGGAGTACCTCGATGCGCCATTTCATCCATGATAAGTGGACCATGATCTTTTGCAAGAGCAATAGCGGTTTCAAGATAAGCATCTGGGGGGAATCTGTTGGAAGAGCAGCTCCCGTACGTGATCCACTGGTCTATCCATAAAAACTTGCTCGTAAAAAAGTTATCTGCATTTTCTAATCGTGGCCAGTATTCGAGCAGATCTCCTCGCAATTCATCAAGCTACGACCGATGAACACGACATGCACAATTAGTTAAATGAAAAATGAAACAAACAAAAAATAAAAAAGTATATAAAATATTGAAGAAAAAAATAGTTACAATATCGTCCGTCATTCTCTCCTCAGTATCACAATAAACTGGAGGCAACAACCCAAAGTCCCTCTGTGGCCTAAGTCCACGAATGGTAAAATGTTGCTTTGGCACAGGTGGGTTGCACGTGCCACGTGAACTGCAATAAGCATTTGGCCATTGTAAAACTAGCAGGAAATAATTAAATCCCGGTGGATTAATGGGTCGAGGAGGAGGAGGAGGTGGTGAAGGGGTAGGCGGCGGAGGAGAAGGAGGTGGTGGAGAAGGAGGAGGTGGCGGGGGTGGACGACGTGGAGGTGGTGGAGAAGGAGGAGGTGGTGGAGGTGGACGACGTGGAGGTGGTGGAGAAGGAGGAGGTGGTGGAGGTGGACGACGTGGAGGTGGTGGGGGTGGACGAGGAGGTGGTGGACGAGGTGGAGGAGGAGAAGGTGGTCGTGTAGGTGGTTGTGTGGGTGGTCGTGTAGGTGGTTGTGTGGGTGGTCGTGTAGGTGGGCGTCTGTCCTCTTCTGCAGGGAGTGAGGAAGCCAACAGAAACCCAAGCAACAAAATTACAACACTAAACAGCAAATGCTTCTTTGAGATAGCCATTACGTAGTAGTTTACTACTATTAGTGTGATTCTTTTACTGAATCATGTTAACACTAACGTGAGGCTTTTATAGGCATATTCATGTCTGAGAGAGGGATCTTATCTTATGCCAATCCTGCATCTTCCTTCTCAGTAATATTTATAAAAGGTGGCGGAAATAGTTGAACTGATGACTAGCGTTGCATGCATGCCTAAAGCTACTAAAGCCTTGGCTTTAGGCCCCTCAAAAGAATTTTTTTTAATATTAATATATTTTTTTAAAATTAAAATTATATTTAAAAATAATTTTTAATTAAAATAATTTAAGTAACTTTTAATTTTTTTATTATTTTTTATATACACAAATATTCAAATGTAAGATTTTGATTAACTAATAGTGAGCTGCTTGTTAGTTAAACTAATTTTTTTTAATTTTTATTTTTTTCTCTTATTATTATATTCCTGTATATTTTTATTTGGAATGGTAGAAAAATTAATGTTTAAACCATAAAAAATCTTTGCAACATAATAATTTCTTGAATATTAATAGATTAAATTTATTTTTAAAATTAAATATCTTAAAAGAAATTATATAATTAAAAAATGATAAATCACTTGACACTTTTAATTATATTAAAAATATATATTATTTTTCAAATGCATATATAACTTATAAAATAATGTTAAAAAACATATTACTTTTATAACATAAAAATATATTACAGTATCGGTTACTTCACGTGAAATTTTTTTAAAAATAAATTAATAAAATTTTACATAATATCAATACCTTATTATCTATTAAAAAGGAAATATTAAATAAAATTAATCACAATAATATTATAAATAATTTTTCATTATAAAAAATTAAATAAAATTATAATAATTATAATAAATTATTTTATAATTAAAAACATCATTTTAAAGTTTGTTTTAGCTTTAAATTTGCTTTAGGCCTCATAAAGTCCTTGAAATGTATGCATGTGCACTTAGTGTATATAATAATTGTGGTGGTCTTTGAGGAGGATCACTATCCTTATGCATCTGTGTTAGAAAGGACAAAATAATATTACAGCCAAGTCTTTTCAATTCCAAAAGAATTCATGAATAACACGTGCGGTGTAAGGTTGTAGTAAGGGATAATCATCTATCACCTCATATTCCAATCTTATCATATGAGGCTACTTTTTTTCTATATGTTTTTTTTTTATTTCAAAATTCAAAAAATATGAGATTTTCTATATGATAGTTACAAGTTTTATGGTCGTCATTTTAAAGTAAAAGGAGGATTCATTAGCGACAGGGGTTTGGAGAAAGGAATAAAGCTATGCTCTATGCTTCTTGGTGAAGATATTGGATTAAGGGAGTATTCTATTATTTTTAATCTGTTTTAATCTTTTTTGGGTTTAAATGGTATATAGGTTAGTTTGGGTTATTTGGTTAAAGTTCTTTATATATCTGATTCTGCTTCTACCTAGGGGTAATATCATTTTTACTTAGTCTTTCATTTATTTTCACTATATATGGACTTGATCACCCTTTATGCTCCAATTAATATATTTATGCTTACAAAAGAAAAGAAAAAAGTAAGAGTGTTTATGTGTTCTGTGATCACTGGTCCAGTATTTTGTTTACATTAGTTTTTTCCTTTTTCTTCATCGTTCTTGAATACGGGTTAGAGTAACCTTTTACCCCCTATCAGTATATCTTTTGTTTACCTAAATTCATTTTTAATTCATATACTAAAGTCTAATTATAACTGGCAATGAGTTTTTTTTTTTTTTTTATATATATGAACACTGGCAATGAGTTCATTATATAGTAAATTGAATGAAAACCTTAAACTTATATGATGAATAAAATTGAGTAAAGGAAACAAATTCAAATCTTAAAAGAAAATATTAAATAGTCATAATTTTTTGCAAGAACTACATGACATTGTTGTGCATTTTAGATGCAAGAAACTTCTTTTTAATAAGCCAAATGTATTAAAGGGGTACCAAGCACATAAAACAAAACCAGCAGAGTCATTGACCAAAAAACGGCAATGAGCCAAAGAAACCAACGAGACGTGCAGCAAATGTCGAAAAAGCAGCCAAAGGACTACGAACATTAGGTTTCTCACTGCAGGCCACCAACCGAGGGTTGGATCATCCTAAGATTTTTTGTGCCGTGTATAAATTGAGAAATTTGTGTCTTATTATATATATAAATAGAGAAGTAAGAGCGGTTATGTTTTAATTTAGAGAACGTTTGTTCTAACATTTTGCACTATTCAATGTGTTGCATTTAAGATAGCGGCTAAATAATTACTTAAAGAGCGGTTAATTTTAGATAACATTTAGAACTGTTTTAACATTTTATACTATTCAACATGTTCCATTTAAGAATGTCCTAGTCCTACTTCTCAAATCCAAGAAATCTTATAAGACAATTCTGAAAAAGTTGAAATAACTTTTGATAAAAGAAGATCATTCTCCTTTAGAATAGAAGTTTATAGCAGACAATCTAATTTTGCATTTGCGAAGAGATCATTCTCTTCCAGATCTTAAGCCTTTAGATCTGAAATACCCAGATCTGTATCTCATGTTCCTTCTCAAATAAACTTGCAAGGTTTAAATACTTCTTCTTGTATTCCTAGAATAGCCTACCAAACCTCCAAAAAGGAAGAAGAAAATTAGAGTATCCAATCTCCAACCTATTCTTTCCTTAATGAGTCTTATAATATCATCTCATAAGTTTTTTATTTATTTACGAAAGATTTTTATTCTGAGGATTAAAAACCCCAGATAGAGTAATTTTTCCAGAATTATAAGGGTAAAAATAGATATGATATTTAAGATGAATTTTATAAATTTTTCAAAAAAGTTAAGCAAAATATCTTATTCTTTGATTGGTTTCATGCTTATACCGTCAAGAACAATTTAGATTATCCTTGGCAGATAGATATTTTCAGTAATCCTTCTGCTAACGTCATCTCCTGACAAATCAAAGATAGACAAATAGTTCAGAGTAAACTGCCTCTAACAACCCAGTATCAGTTGCTCAAATTGAAAGATAATAATGACAATCCAGTAATGGCAACACCATTCAAAACCAAAAATCTAGATGAGTCTATCACTCCCAGTGATATACAAGGCTTCATGGAACAGGCCAATTATACCAACAAATAGCTCCAGCTTTAAGGGGAAAAGATCAGTAAGTAAAAAGTCTCTACTGACAATCAAAAAGGTGAAAAAGCATCCTCTTCCCAACCTTCTTTAGAGAAACCTCTTTTCAAACCATTCAAAATTAGTGCTAGAGTCAAACAAAAAATCTTAAAGCTTAGGCAGAAAGATAGACCAAAATCCTTAGAGGAATCAGGTAATCAAAGTGAGTTACTTAGTAAAATTACTAGTATGTTTATGACTGTTCTTGAAACACCTCAAGCCTCTAAAAAGTCTAGTGCTAGACCTAAAACTAGATCTTTGGCCAAAACTATCAACTCTATTAGCAAAACTAATTCAGAACCACCTTCTGAAGTAGATTTAGTTTCCAATTTAGAAGTTAATTTTGTTATTACTACCAATAAAAATTGGAGATCTTCTTCCAAACTGTATTACAATAAGGCTACCGCTCCTGATCTTATTTTAGAAGAAAATAATGAGCATAGTTTCTAAAGTTTTAATACCAATAACATCTATGAATGGATCATAGTTGGTAAGTTAGAGTATAATATTATTACTACTTTGCATCATATGCCTATATGTTAAAGTTCTGGTCAAGTGTACTAAATTTTAATGTAGTATAAAAGATTATCGCTTCCATAGGGATTGGTAGATGTATAAATTCTTTCTAGTACCCTTAATAAAATTTAAACTAAAAAATAAATAATTGCAGATTTATTGCATAAGAAATGTAACATTAACTAATATGTTAAATTGAGGTGAGATGAATGAAAGTTAGGAGATATGCTGAGATTGGATTTCATCATTCTATTTCTTCCATGTTTCAATGGCCAACATGTGAGCACTAGCATATAAATGTAGATGCACCTCTTCTTACAGTCCCTTGTATCGATTCCTCCATACAAAGTTATTAAAAGCATTAAATGAACAATGATTCCTCAACTATTCATTGAATCCTCCATACATTAAATGCATGATTTGCTAAGCAATCAATATACTAAATTCTATTCCTAGAATTGCAGCATATCAAATGAATTCCATTAAGTCCAGATATAAAATCTATTTTCCAACTAACAATACACCCTAAATCACAAGACTATTTTGCAAAATAGACTTGAGCATTAACCATCAATGGAAACAACAACATTTATATGAAAAGAAATACAGTTCATAAATGACCCATCAAAATATGTTAGAATAGAAGATTACATCCAATCCCATAATGGTTCTAGCTACTTATAATAGCCATTACAAAGTAAAGAGAGGAGAAAAAGATAAGATAACTGATTCCCAGTTCTTTGTGCCCTAATTCCCTTTTCTGAACTCCTTTCTCTCTTTTTTCCCACACGTCTTTTTTTTTTTCTCTGATTCTCATTGTTTAAACTGGAATAAATAAATTTTCGCTCAAGTAACAATACTCTCACTTGAGCAAAAATGAGGCAGATGCTCAATTGTGGTTCGCAAATTCTTGCTCAAGCTATAATTTCTTGCTTAAGCGAGAATTGAGTTGGCTACCACATGCCTTCCACTTCAATAAGTTCCCGAGGATCAGAATTCAAGCAAAATTGGAATCAGAATAAGTCTCTATCTAAATTGTTAAATTAACTAAACTATCTAACTAAAACTTCCATGATTTAAGAGGAGATGAACATTAAATTTCCTAACTTTGTGGCAATTAGGTGTTCAAATCAATATACATGATAAGAATACCTTGTCTAGAGTTTATACAAGAGAAGATAGCCAACAATCCTTTTGAAAAGAAAAATTCTTAGTTGGTCTTCCTAAGTCTTTTGGAGATCTGATTAGGAAAAAACTCTGAAATCATCCTACCAATGGTGAAATTCCTTATAACAGTCTTAATTATAGTCAACTTATTTCTGTCATTCAAAAA